TTTAATCCGTGAAGACAGATGAAACGTTCACAAATTCTATAGCACATACATGATGCTCGCACCTTGAAATTGACTTAAATGCACGGTTGGCGCGGTGGCTGATCAACCGCCTGCCGCGCAACGTGTCGCGGATTCGATTCCCGCATGGAAAAACTCTTTGTGTGATCCACAGATTGTTGTTCCGGGTCTGGGTGTCATGTGTATGTGAACTTGTATGTTTGTAAACGCACCCACGACACAGGAGAAAATATTAGCGGGTTAACAACGATTAAAAAAAAGAATAAGAAATATAACTTCCCACAATTTACCAGTTCATTACGACGAATTTTAAAAAGTCAAAGTCAAAATCATTTAGATATTTAAATTAGACCAGAAAGGCACTTTTGAACGTCAACAAAAAAAAATTTAAAAGTGTAGCTCTTTGCTCATTCCAAGGTGTAGATTCCTATGGAGAAGAACGAGCAAGAAACTCCATAGGTTACTCTTAATATTCGCAAAATCTCCAAACCTATAAGAACTTTGTCTTATCCCGAAATCGCTCTCGACTCCCAAGACCTCTTACAGTCCACGACGCGCATACAAGCACATGACCATTAAGGTAAACAAAGAAAAACAACACCTTGATCAAACAAAAAAAAGTAAACAATAACACACTCTGCTTACCCCTAAAAACAAAAGGCGTGATATAACTAACACAGTCCAAATTAACATGACTGCTTAAAGTTGGAAAGTGCTTGAGTTGCGTTGCGCTCGTGAATCCAACTCAAACGTTGCAGAGTGGCCGATTGTGCAGTTTCATAACTATGCTATGCGGCCGGTGTTAAGTAATTCTGAGAGTTATTCTACCACTGTGAAGTGTGATTACTAAACGATGCTATGAGATATTTAGGTAAGGAGTTTTTGATCAAAAACCTTGTGAGATAATAATTATTTCGGTAATACGAATCACTCAATAACTAGTTTGAAGTAGTTTGCTCGACTAGTTTCAAGCCCAAACCGGGACTCATAACCCTACATACCGCGTTGTCTCCATATCTATCATATCTTTATATATATAATTCTTCTGTGAGTGTTATGTCACTGAACTTCTCTCAAACGACTGGACCGATTTTGATGAAATTTTTTGTGTGTTCAAGGGCAAGCCCGGCAGATGGCGCTGCAGTCGATGTTTAGGTTATTTATCCTAAACTGCTGAAGTAATTTGAACGAATTTTTGTTTATACATTCAAGTGGATATGCAGGACAACGTCTGTTGGGTCCGCTAGTATAATTATAATACTTAATTAATTTACTGTCTCGTTGGTAGTATTAGTTTCTCAGATTTAGTGCTAGTGAGAATTAAGTTTTATCTTTAATCACATAGTTTACATAGCTTTTTTCTTAAACACATATACTGTGTTCGGATAGTACTCTTGAATTCATAACAAATCCTGTAAACGTGGATACAAGCGCTATTGTCTAAATCATTCGTACGATATTTCCATAAATATTTAAATTTAGAATAAGAAGATACAATTATTCATGTCTCCCGGCGAGAAGGTAGCAACACAAACAAATGAAGATCATTTGAAATTGTAATTGTCTGGAATACTAGATACCTACCTATGTCGTTACTTACACTAATGTATGTACCCACCTACCAGTTTGGAGACGGCAGGATAGATTACATTTATCACCAACTATATTCAAGAGTACCTAGCCGTATGTATCGCAAGGACTACATATTTGACTTATACAAGGCAAGCGCTCCTTTGAATCTGCAATCTGCAAAGTGAAACCCGCATTCCAAAAGTGGTCCTGCGCTCGGAAAACTGATAATACTGTCTCAAGAACTAATTTATTTGTCGGAATATCTTGATCAGTAATTAATTTAATATAGTGACATCTATGCAGGTATCTGAGAACTATCTAATCAAAGTAATACAACTGTTGGTTCGCAGCTAAACTAACAGATGGCACTTTAGACAAAACCTGTAAGGAACTCTCACAGAAATTATTTTTATATCATTGAAAATATTGAAATCAAAAAAGTCTTTCGTAATACTCGAACGAATATCGGTAAACAATTAAAACTCAAAACGAAAACGCGTGAATATCAATGTGTGGTCTAAAGTAAAGAAGTAAGCGATCGCAAGGTTAATCTTCATTGTTTTTATGGAACACTCTGGAACAGGGGGCCAAGGAGAGGACGGATCACCTGATGTTAAGCAATCGGCGCCACCAATGGACACCCGCAACACCAGTGGGGTTACAAATACGTTGCTAGCCTTGAGGAGATCTCCTGGCTCAAGTAATCTTACTCACACGGTCACAGAGAATGCAAGTATTATTTCACGTCAGCTTTCAGTAAGCCCGTGACTTGCACCAAGATTCGAAAGCACGGAGGTATAATCCTTGAACATATGACGCCTGGAGGCTCGACAGTGACCATTAACTGCTTATTCGAGCTTGCAAATATTCCACACATATTTATTGAGGATTCTCGTGATTTAATACCTTATGGAGGAAAACGGAATGATCGCGTTATTTAAAAGGTTTCTTTATGACTGTATGTATGTGTGTGTGTGTGTATATATATAGTTGGTGCAGTCACAGACATATAAAGAATATGTTCTGTGGGTACAGTAGTTCAGTTACATGCCGGATATTGTGTGATAGGTACCCGTAGCCTGTGGGCAACAAAAAGTACAAATAATTTTTAATTAAAATTAATATTTCTTGCCCGGAGACTATGTGACGAACGGATGGGATGAAGTGTGGGAGAACTGTGGCACGAATGGGCCGGCTCGACCGGAGTGATACCACGGCCTTACAGAAAACCGACGTGAAGCAACGCTTGCGTTGTGTATCGTCATGTTACCGGAGGTCCAATTACTCCACCCCCCACCCCTTTCTCAATCTCCCCAATCCCTGAATCCCCAACGATCCTCAAACTTCTAATCCACAAAAGCCGGAAACGCCTCTGGTGTTCCAGGTGTCCATAGGTGATGCCCATTGCTTACCATCAGGTGATCCGTCTGCTCGTTTACCAGCTTACAGATCTTCAAGAAGTTTAGACGAAATCTTGATTATAGAATTTCTACCGCATAACACTTACGATTGCAGATTTGCGAATCTGTTAGACGTAATGATACTTGATGTGAAATATTCGTGCGTAAACGGCAAATGTTGCTACCATCACTGGTCACCTTTATTCCTATGGCAATAAGAGTTACTATAATACTATGCAAAGTGCAAAATAAGTGTGTTTTAGACAATAGCAGGTCATTAGGTGTCGGTTTGTGTCAATAGGTAAACATTTGTCATTATGACCGGCTTTCTCTCTTATTGCACTTATCTTAAACTTAACGTGACGTAATAGGATTTTATAAGTTTTTGAATAAACTAAAAGTACAGGTGCTGTTTCTCTTGGCCTAATTAGGACTTATTTAAGCAGTTGCCACAAAATGTGACACTAGTTTTGTTATTGATCAGAGATTTGTCTTCTATTTTTTATGGCATAAGCCGGTAAACGAGCAGACGGATCACCTGATGGTAAGCAATCGGCGTCGCCCATGGACACCTGGAACACCAGAGGTGTTACACGTGCGTTACCGGCCTTTTGAAGATTTGGAGTTTGAGGATCGTTGGTGATTTAGTGATTGGGGAGATTGGGGAAGGGAGGGTAATTGGGCCTCCGGTAACCTCACTCACACGACGAAACACAACACAAGCGTTGCTTCACGTTGGTTTTCTATGAGGCCGTGGTATGACTTCGGTCGAGCCGGCCCATTCGTGCCGAAGCATAGCCCTCCCACACTTAAATATATCTTATACAGTCATCTGCAAAATGGCACTGAAATAAATAATACTGTGGATCATCATCATAGAATCAGGAATCATACACCATACAGTGTAGTCAGGAATATATATTTGATTGATTGATTGATTGATTGAATCAAAAACATAAGATACTAAAGGCAATGCAGATATTAGCAAAGAAAAAAATAAAGGAAAAGTGTTCACACACCTAGCTAAACATGCTTACGTTCACACTACACGCCTGTCATTTGCCAATGATTTAATATTTAAAACTATGTAAAACACAAAGTAACATCTATCTAAAACCATAGTACACACAATAAAACTCTTTATGAATAATTAAATTAAATATATCACTATCTCTATCTCCTAGAATCTTTTTGTACGAGCCGGCGCACAACAATAACAATATAATGGCCGAATTAATTTAAACTGTTCTTAGGTAACTGCTGTTTCAAAGATACAAAGAATTCGTAAAATAAAAAGTGAAATGATTGTTTGCCGGCAAACATAACTGAATGTAAATAAAGTATATATGCGTTGTCTCCTCAATACGAATTGTAGGGTGACTAAGCTACCAAGACCAAGGCTTCCCAAACTATTGGTCGCGCCCCATTGGTGGGTCGCAAGCGAATTTTTAGTGGGCCTTTGGGGTTTAAATTGTCTAACCAACCGTTCTGTATTTCATTTTTCATGTTCGTAACGGTTTAAGTTCCTAAAAGTGGGTCCTGGGTTTTGTTTGTAACTTGATTTAGATAGGTCGTAGTCCAGAAAACTTTGGGAACCACTGACCTAGACGAATGTTGATAACTCCGGCATTGCCAAACATAGGTGGCGTATTTTGCAGCCCTATATTATTCCATTGTTGGTCAAGTTTTGTCAAGCTTTATTATTTATCTATCACATTCCAACAATCCCTACGAAATGGTACGATTATACTCATGCAATGATTAAAGCGCTTAGACGTCCCGAAAAACCGAATTAACTTTTACTTTTTAAAGATTCTGTACCATTTAGAAATTCGACCATATTAGGGTAAAAATATTACGATCAGTGAAACATACGTTACTTTACTTTATTATGCAGTTTTGTTAAAAACGATCATGAGGTGCATATCTCGAAAACAGGTTTGTCCTACACCCAACAGAAAGTATGGCCACAAAATTGGAGCGTACACAAACTGTTTTGCAATCCGAGAGTGAAAGCTCGACGCATCTGAGCGAGTCACTGCTTACCTGACAACGATACTTGACACACGACCAACACACGACATTATGGTAAGTTATACAACCTCATTTAATAACTGCGGAAAAATATTATAAGCAATTGTCTATGGGTGTTTAAAAAAAAAAGAACGCAAAATTTCAAATGAGGTGTTCTTTTTTTATTTTCAAGTGCTGTATCTGTAATGTGTTATATTTATATATCTATGGTAATCTGATTATACGTTCTTCTGTTTTCGTAACAAAAACTATATTAACTATGTTAAAAGATGGCGTCTAATGATAGTGATTTTAAAATACAGGCGGGTGATCAATGTCAATCATATCTTGAGCGCTTGAGTGCATCATTTGTATGTGAGATGGTGTTTATACTCATTTAAGATGTTACCGTTCTCCGCGTCTGACATGTTAGACAGATTTAATCTGCATTGATTTAATATTGTGATAACGAATTAAAGTTAATAATAGTACAAGTAATAGGTACGTTATTTTTATGTCACATGTTAAACTGATGTATTTATAACGACAAAATATTTTTTTTTACGATTACAATAACTGTGGGGGTTCACATTTATTACATAGGTATTTTTTTCAGCATGGTGCATGGTGGAGACTCGTTGACCGACTGATAAACTATGTCCATAAGTTATACACTAGTTAGTCGTACACTTATTTGCTAAAGTCATCTCAAAAGGTTTCATTACCTGATTCAAAAACAACTATTCACTATGTATTCCAGGGTGCCTCACACAGCGAGCATGCTCCAAAGCCTGAGAAAGCCGACCTAGTGAAGAAGATCAAGGCGCGGCTGGCGTCAGTGGACCCCAGCAAGGCGAGGGCACTGGGCGGAGTGTTCCTCTTCAACATCATCAAGGGAACCAGCGTGTATTCTTGGAGTAAGTTTTGAAGACATTTACATACTCACTCGATACCTTACAAAAAGGTCATCATTAATACACTAATCAATTTTTATGGGATAAGCCGGTAAACGAACAGGCGGATCACCTGATGGTAAGCAATCGGCGTCGCCCATGGACACCTGAAACACGAGAAGTGCGTTACCGGCCTTTTGGGGATTAGAAGTTTGAGGATCGTTGGGGATTCAGGAATTGGGGAGATTGGGGAAGGGGAGGGTAATTGGTCCTCCGGTAACCTCACTCACACGACGAAACACAACGCAAGCGTTGCTTCACGTCGGTTTTCTGTGAGGCCGTGGTATCACTCCGGTCGAGCCATTCGTAAAGTATTTTGCATTCTCTTCATGTCAAATTAATTAACCCCTTATTACATAGCACACAAATATTATTATTCCATCACCTCTTATATCACGGTTCTGTCTACTTATGCTCTTTCTTACGTTCACAGCCCTAGACCTCAACCAAGTGAAAGTCTACGAAGGCGAACCAGACGAGGACCCTGACTCCACGTTCACACTCACCGAGCACTACTTCAAGCAACTCGTCACCGGCAGAGAAGATGCAAGAGTCATCGTACAAGCTGGACGCTGCTCCGTTACCGGAGATATCATGAGAGCAATGCAACTTGAACCCTATATTAAGCTTGAATAGAGTTTATTTTAGAGTTTACATATTCAGACATTTTGTGTAAGATAAAGAGCTGCTCGCGGTTTTGTCATCATGGCTTGAAGATCAAATTATGTAGAAACTCAGTCTTTCTCTAAGAGAAAGAGCAGCAGTTACTAATACTTATATTAAAGTCTAGGTTAGCATGGAACAACTATTTGTTAAACACAAATAGGTATTGTTGTTTCTAATGAGATAATGCTGAGAATAGGGAGTTACCAAAAGGAATTCATAAATGTTTGGAGTAAATGGAGTTTCTTCATCATCGTTCACACGCATCATCATCATTTCAGCTCAGGGCCTTTAGCCAAACGCCGCTTTAGCGGTTGTCTACAGAGAGAGTAGAAAACTAAATGTAGGTATGGGAATGACACTGACAAGTGTCAAAATTTACGTCAATCCCATATAATTTTGTTACAGCTGCAGGTTCGCCTAATTAACGCTGGGTATAGACTTCCTACTTTTACTGCCATACTTTTTGTACTGTTCATCCCTTTTTGAGCAACCTTGGCACGCCAAAGTTGGAAAATCTATGGCAATTTTGCATTGTCAGCAATTATACCAGTTTTTTATTTTTAATGTTGACTGTATTTGGTCAGGTAACGTCAACATTTTTCTCTCTACATGTAAAGTTAAATGTAAGTGTGTGTATATTATATTCTCTCTATGAGTGACGTATACATGACATAACAATAGTATAAGTTTTTTAAGCTTTAAATAATTGTAGAAAATAAAAAATATTAAATTTAAATGTGCTTCCTTTTTCATTCACTTTATTAACAAAGCCTTCTGAGCCACCCGTCTTTGATTTCCTGATCGAGCACAACATTTATTAGTTTCAGAATAAGTAACTAGATTGGGGAGACATATAAGTAGTTCGATTGATGTTAAGCGATTAGCACCGTTCATGGGTCGCTATACCGAAGTACTTGCGAGGACCGCCCTGAGGACACGGTGGAACACACGGCGGGAGAATGCCCTGCGTGGGCTGAGCACCGCCGTGTCCTCAGGGAAGTGATCGGCGATGGCGACCTCTCGCGTCCGGGCCTAGTGCAGGCCATGATGCGGAGCAAGGGGGACTGGGATGCCATCTTCTCCTTTTGCGAAGCAGTCATGCTAGCTAAGGAGGAGGCGGGACACGTGAGGCAGCGAAGCGCTGCCTCCTCGCAACCCAGCCGTCGCGAAGGACACACCGGGCGTCGGGGATCGCGGGACGATCTCCGGCCACCGTAAGCGCGGGCCTGCGGACGGCGAGCATGGGTAGCTCCCCGTCCGACTAGAAACAGACCCGAGCGTACGGCGCGTCGCGTTCCGCGCGCGCCTCAAAGAGCCATCAGACCACCACAGATGGGGCCCAATAGGGCCGATGCCGATTCGGAGTCGCGGAGAACCTAATGGGTAACCGGGGCTCCGGCTCGACGCGCAGGAGAAGGAACGGGGTGGTTTTTAGTCAGTAAGAGTCTGACACTCCCTCCCGCCTCACCCAGGCAGGAGCAGTCATTCGATGATTTTCCACCTAAAAAAACAAAAAAAAAATAATGTCGAAGTACTTACCACCAAAATCCTTTTAAAAAAGAGAAGGTATCACCGTTGTGTAAAGTAAGTTAAATTACCACTAAAATAAATCAAACTACTTATTACATATCATTTTCCTCAACTCTCAATAAGACTAGCACACTTCTATCGCCTACACAACAAGCTACCCTTCCAGTCAAAATAATTCAACCTCTTTTAAAGCATATCTCTTTAGAATAAGGTTGAAAATCTGTTAATTAGAAAGATAAGAATATCTCGATTGACTTGGCATCCGTACATGAACATTTGACCCATACCAATTAAGGTATTAATAGTTAAATGTAGTTTTTATACGAATACCGTTAGCAACGGTACGCGGCCTACATTTATAGACATGATGAATGACTGATGTAGGGCAAAATAACTCTTACAATCAAATAAATAAAGTCTAATTAAGTAGTTTATTAGTGATTAGCTTAAGAACGGTTTTTGATAAGTGAATGTACCTATGTAGATGCTTTCATTTTTTCTAAATGAGTTGCTAATTGGATGAACCGCTAAGCGTGTAGTGAAGTGAAAAATATTAATGTAAAGTTTGGTTCGTTGACTTGATAGTTACTAGTCTAGCAACAAAACTTACAGTTCCACATAAGTATATACACCTACACCTAGACGAAACATAGTATAGCCTACAGAAAAGAACTAAAGGTACATACCCCTTTGTAATCTGATATTAGCCCTACTTATAACAAAAATACACAGCTTCCTCTGAAAAAGTCATCATCAACAGCCCCTAATAGGACTCTGCTAGACCATGCGCGATTCTTCTATACAACAAGAGATTGCTTGATCTCCAGCCTACCACCTCCAGCCAGGCAATTTCTAGCCTAATACCTGACTAGGTTGGAGATCACTATTACAAGAGACCACTGCTGTCCAGACTCTGTTAAATGTTTATTCTCTTAGTCTTCCGACACCGGCAAGAACAATAGAAGTGGTGAGAAATGAGAAATGTACTCTTCTATAATCATGAACCTAGAACCAACAAAGTACTGACATCATAAACATCTGTCAGCAAAATAATCAACATTGTAATAAAATGTAAACGTCTACTTGTACAGACTGGTTTGCGAACGGTACCCGAGGTTCAGACGCGGGTCATGCACCTCTACCCGCTCGGCATAGAGACCGCCATTAATAGGTTAAGGACGTATTTCTTGTGACAATACGGGTTCTTTATATTCAATATTTTGTATGTAAACTTTGGTAAATGCAGTTGCAAAGGGTTACTGCATGATGTTTTGTGTTTCAATTGAGTAGTTTCCTGGGTCAAAATTAATTATTTCGATTTTTCAGTCCAATTAAATATTGAAAAATAGTTACACTTTCATTTATTGATTTACCGATTAAAATTAAGTATTAATTGTCGATTTATTCTAGCATTTTTTTTTTAGATCTAAGTGTGCTATTTGACGCGAAAATATGATGACGTCATAAGATGGTATTTCGTACAAAATTCATAGAACAGTATCGTTTTTGATGTTTCGATAAAAGTATTGAATTTGACTAGTTGTCAACTACCGTATTCTAGCTTGGAATACAAATGTTGGAGTATGAGTGTGAGCGTGTCTGAAAAAACATAGTTTTTTAAAATTTAAATGTTGGTACTAACGACGCAGAATATTGTCTAAGAGTGTGTAGCCTAGCAACACTAATAAAGGTATCTGTTCAAAATCCAGATTCCGGCAAGATAAAAAAAGTGGTGAAATAAGAGACTGGCACCAAAGAATAAAAAGAAATCTTTCAGTTATTGTTTTATGACTGGCACATTACAGGGCCATGACATCCACAAAATCTGAAGCTGAACATTTCAGATATGTCTACAATTGATACATTTTTTTAACTATCTAAAAGCTAGGAAGTTGTTAATTTCTCTACGGAATCCTAATAAAAGCCTTAATCGTTATAAAACCTGTCGATATCGGAATTGCAGATGTCAAGTCCGGCTGTTTACTACAAGATTATCTCGGAGACGCGCTTTATATAGAACATAGGCAATTGCCGATAATTTATCACATAATCTTAGCTTGGAGAAAATTTCTCCTACATTGAAGACATTGAAAAATAAGTTTATTAATCATGAGGCTGTACACTCGGGTTATATTCTCTTGAAAGTATCTTTAAAAGGATATTTTATAACTTACTAGCTGTTGCCCGCGACTACGTCGGCGTAGAATATGATACCTGTTTTATTAACTCATGGGAGCATTTATTCGGGATAAAAAGTTCTATCATCTAAGTCAGCCCATACCCTGCCCGTATACCACATTTCTTCAAAATCCGCTCAGCAGTTTCAGCGTGATTGACGGACAAACATCCAAACAAAGAAATTTCATATTTATAATATTAGTGTCATGTAGACCATTTCTTTAGGTCATGTACCTAGACCATTTCTTTAGAAACAATGTCAACAAACTACACCATAGACTCGCCTTCTTTTTACTTGGAACCGTATAAAGTAATTGACGAAATGTCGGTGCTACTTACATACAATGTAAGCTGTATGCTCAATAGCACCCTCTAATGGAAAGAATCCCGATTTGTAGTAAACATAAAGTCATTCATTAACTTTCATGGAGTCAAAACAAATGAAGTCTCTTTCTCAAGACGATAAGTACAAATCTTTAATTAGGTAACTCTAAGAAGTTCTTAATCTAACCATATTGTAGATAAACTGTAATAACTATAAAGGCATAATCTGCCTTCTAAAATACATTATTAAAAGGACATAAAAGGTCCTTGAAATATAGGCACAGTTTCCTGTCATTAAATGTCATAAGACTAAGACTAGTCCTGCTCATACCCCTCGCAAGTAATTAGATAATCGATAGAGACCGTTCAGATGTTAAGGACAACTGCAAAATCCCTTGCAAGGAATGATATGCACTCTTAAGTACAACTGTGAACGAAAGTATATTAAAATATTTATATGATTAATATTTATGAATAAGCTCATCATCTTGGCATTTCCCCTAACCAGAAGAGGTAGGTACAAGGGCTTTGCCTACCTTTTAGGAAGGGGCGGGCTCCGGTAACTTAAACTATTGACATAAAAATATCAACAAAAAAGTTCCTATTAACACTACAATGTTGACTTCTGCCTAGATGTCTGCCAAGGAAGCTAAACGTGTAAAAGTGGGAATCCAAGAACTAACCCCACATTTGCAATGCCGAATACAAAAAATATTAGTTATTAATTAGTTAAAACTATACAAACAAGAACTTAGCTGAACGACAAGTTTTCTAGATTTAACATTTTATAAATAACAAGCTTACAGTAGGTTCTACTTAATTACGCAAAGCAAATTTAGTTTTTGCCAAATTAGGAACTAAGTTCATCCCACGTCTCTAGATGACCATTGACCATAAATATTTTTATCTAAATCTTGACTCACCACTTTTGCGCTCGACTGCACCGGTAAATCCAGCTTCCTAAGCCGAAGTGGTTTATTTTATTATTTACACGACGCTCTTGAACAGCGACCGTGCTAAACACACGCACTAACACAAACTTGCATTTTAATTTTATTTTTTTTAATTTTCAATATCTGTGGTTCAAAAGTTTGTTTCGAAAATGTATAAAAAGGTTTTCTTTATAATTTTTGCGGCAACACTGGCTATGAGCGATGGTGAGTATTTAATTGTTTAATATTTTACATTGTTTTAATTACAGTTTTGTGATGTTTGTTCTTTTATTAATGTTAGAAAGTTAAATCTGATTTTTTTAAATTTTAGTTTAGTGTCAGTATAAATCATATAAGTTGTTGCATAATTATGATTAGTGGTGGAAAATTAATTCTCTCTAATGAATCATTTTTATTAAATAACTTTAAACAAATTTAAGTAGGTCAATTTTGAATTACCTACCTATATTTTCTAAACAACCAATAGAAGTTACTTTATGTTTTTATTTATAACAGTTATGTACTTCAAAACCAAAAGTGTCATAAAAATAACTTAAAACCAGATAATTTATTACGAAAATAAAAACGTCTGCGACCAAATATTTATTTTGAGATAAGCTTTACGAGATAAAGGACTTCTTGCAAGAAACACCACATTTCTAAATATAAATTAATTTAAATTACTTACGGCGTTATAAAAGTTTTGATGCCTAGGTATCTAAGTAGCTTTTAATTTTGGTGCTAATTTTGTTTAGCGACCTTTCAGGCAACAGAGGTTCCCAAAATTAGACAATATTTAAGGATGAATAATAATCCCAATGAATAATAATGAATAATAATCACAAGGAATTAATTATCAAATTCTTAATTGGTAGGTTGGTATTACCTAATAAGACAATAATATTTTAATTAAAGTTATTAGAAACATGTTAAAGACTTGAATCTCAATCAGGTGTTCAGCCCACGAACTACGAAATAAGTCGAAACCAACTGGGCGGTAAGTTACCCATGATTGTCGTCGCATCAAAAACTGACATACATCGGTGCATTCATACATTAGCATGGGACACATACATCATTACCAAATGTCATGAAACAAGCGCATGTCATTACAAATTGATGAATTTATCATAGCATTCGTAAAGGTTCATCTAATCTGCATGAATTCATATAATTTTAAGTGGTACCATAGAATACCATGGTAAATATTTATTAATCCACATAATACCATTTACCAACATACTTACTTTAAAGACTTAGGTACATACGGTATGCTAATATTAATAAAAATTGTAAGTTAGATAAATGCAGTTAGTTAGGTTGATACCTTAGTACGAACATTACCCAAGTTAAACAATACGAGACTCGTATTAACTCCTGTGCCAATAGTCAATTAAGTATCCGAATCTACTTTGATCGATAAATTCTTATAAGGCCAGAAACACTAGGCTGCGCGACATCACTGCGACCGCACACGCTGCTCATGAGGAAGAACCTCTCTGTGGTTGGAAACTAGTAGAGCTTTTCTCAGTATACTCACGTGACTAACCCGCGATTTTTAGTTAATGTAGTGAGTCCCACGATAGTTATTATAAAAACGAGACTCCAGATTTTAAGCTTGAGGTTTCCAATGGGCATAAGAAATATTATCTACACATGCACCTTAAAGTTAGAAGTACCACAGGCATAAGTAACTAAGGGGCTATCGAGTCTAGTAGCATCTGTTTTAAGTCAATTTCCATCATTTTAGCATATGTACCTACTAGAAGAATTAATGCTAAAGATATTTAAAGCTATTTGTTCCGCTAAATTTAATTCAGTAGGTTCTTTACTGTTTACGTTTTAGCAAAAAACTACATAGGAACTTGTCCAAACATTGTGCTGAAGTAATTATATGCTCTTACGATAAATTAGATATGTTAGTATAGTAGTTAAATAGTTCTGACTAAATGTTTTGGGTAAAATCATAATACCAGACTAATTTCAAATGAAATACCAACTCTATTATCAATTATGTAGCAAATATAGCTAAAGAACTTGGTAAAGGTAGCCAATGCCGCGGAGGACTTACCGGGTTGCCGGAGCTCCGGCTCAAAGTGCAGGAGTAGGAACGGGGTGGTTTTTAGTCAGTAAGAGTCTGACAGTCCCTCTCGCCTCAACCGGGCTGGGCCGGGAGAAGACATTCGATGATTTTCCCCCTTAAAAAAAAGAAAGAGGTAACTAATCCTAAGTATTGTAGTACTCAGTGACAATAATGAGAATCTTTCTATATACTAAAGTATCGAAATAGCGAATTTGCAGGATCATTATCAATCAGTTCAGTCTTCACATTGTTTATTACAAACTTGACAAAACGACGGCTTATCTCATTATACCTTATTACCACATCACCTATCGACGTAGACAACCACAAAAATGACAATTAATTAAACAATAACAAACCTACCTATGTTTTTGTGCTTTAAAAAAAGTAAACGTGTCATCTCCACAATGAATCGCGTTACGGCAGAGAAGCGTTAATTATGTACCTAGACTAATTACCAAAAATAAGGAAACATTGCAAGGTCACCAGTACTCTTCATTTTTGTCTGTTAAACCTAATTGTTCTACAATTACTCAGATGCGAATTAATTACTTTATCGAGATGCATATCTGTTTCACATTACTGAGAAATAATAATATTATTAAAGAAACATAATTGTGATTCGCTTCCCATATAGTTAAGGGCGATTTGTACCCAAAATGCATGTAAAATCAAGGTCTACTTATTTATTGTTATTGTCCGTATGTGAATCGTGTGAATGAACGGCGTTCAAACGATCTTTAATAACATAATTTTATTATTTATGTGCCTACAAAAAATAAACAAAAGTATTCACACATAATGGTTATTTTTAGACGCCACATTAAAAAAAATAGTTTTCTCTTTTTATGCGTTTACAACATCCGTTTACAAGGTTTATTTATTAAGTTTAGTAGGTACTTAGGGCTTAGATCGCCCTCTCGCGTCCGGGCCTAGTGCAGGCCATGATGCGGAGCGAGGGGGATTGGGATGCCGTCTCCTCCTTTTGCGAAGCAGTCATGCTAGCTAAGGAGGAGGCGGGACGCGTGAGGCAGCGAAGCGCTGCCTCCTCGCAACCATCAAGCCATCAAACCACCACAGATGGGGCCCAATAGGGCCGATGCCGATTCGGAGTCGCGGAGAACCTAACGGGTAACCGGGGCTCCGGCTTCGACGTGCAGGAGAAGGAACGGGGTGGTTTTTAGTCAGTAAGAGTCTGACACTCCCTTCCGCCTCACCCAGGCGGGAGCAGTCATTCGATGATTTTCCCCCCTTAAAAAAAAAAAAAAAAAAAAAGGGCTTAGATCGCATAGTACATGACATGCCAGATTAGTAACTAGTACCTGACAGTTAAGAACTACAAAACGCACTAAACAATAATTATATTCTTTATCCCCCTCCGCAAAGTTAGGAAGCGTAGGCACCTGCATACCCACCTAAACCAAACCCACATCAAATCAGAACATGATTACGATTATAGACGCTACAAGACTTCAAACCACAACCACAAGTCATTCTAATTACCTACCTAGGTATATTATACCTTTGCTTAATAACCACTGGTACAATAATTTATTGCAGTACACGCCATTATATTTTAATACATATATATAAAGCCAACAAGCACCTATGTTAATAAATAGGTTCACCCACTGATCTACTTCACCATACAATTCACGGGCCCATCGCATCGGTATACAATCTAACAATCATCACCATCTAACATTCACCAACAGGTTTCGGAATAAGAGAAGTACTGGACTTTTTGTTAGGAGGCAACTATGGAAACTACCCATATCCGACTGGACCTGGGTATTATCCAGGACAAGGGCACTATGGACAAGGGCATTATGGACAAGGACATTACGGACAGGGTCATCATGGCCCACCAGGCCCACCTGGGGCTCACCCTGGATGCCCCTTGTGTGACTCTTCAGTGTACAGCTACTGCTACCAGAAGCAGGCTCACGATGCTTGCTGCTGCGGTTCTGTGTGTAAGTTGATGTTGATACTTATTTATTTCTTAGATTTTCTTTTCCTTTTCTATTCTTTATGTTAATAAAAAGTTAGTTAAGCATTAGCAAATGTACTTAGTACTTAGTACATTTGCTAACGTTTTTATAAAAAATAACTATCGTGAGACATATAGTATGTCTCACGATAGTTAAAGGTTTTTAATTTAGTAATTAAAAACCTCATTTTCACGTGAGTACGCGTAAAAATGAGGAAGAGCCCCTCTGTGAAACTAGTAGAGCTTTTCTCAGTATTTTCACGAGAGTAACCCGCGATTTTTAGTTAACATTTGCTAACGTTAATTACATAGGCGTAAGTATAAAATCCATTTGCTATTCAAACAATGTAAGCAAAGCAACAGTTCTTAATTTGTTCTTTGGTTTAAAACCTACATACAACTTGCCTTTAACTACTATTTTAACAACTACAGTGCGATTAACAAAATGTTAAAAATTTTGTACCCAAAGTTTTGATATTTCACTTGAAACCGGTTACCTATCTGTAATATTTTGCAATACCTTTTTTCTTTTTTTTTAAACGTTGCCCCACACTAGGATTATCTCCTGTCATGGGTGCGTTTACAAACATAAAAGTTCACATACGCAATGACACTCACACCCGAAACAACAATTTGTCGATTACACAAAGTGTTGTTCCGTGCGGGAATCGAACCCGCGACACGTTGCACGGCAGCCGGTTGCCCAGCCACCCCACCAACCGTGCAGTCAATTGACAGTCTGCCTTTCATTTTCCAGTCAACCCTTACTGCGGCAAGACTGACTGCAAGTTCCTGTACGCGAACTCCTGCGAGGAGCACGACTTGATCTCAAACTGCTGCTGCGTGGACCTCTACAAGAACAACCCTCAAGGCGCACCCGTTGTACCTGCTGTCGCCGTGTAATCAACCTTAGAAATGTAGAGATAAGATCTTAATTTGTATAACAGTTTCATTCCCGATTGCATCAAACTGATGGTAAAAATGTAGGTACTTTTATTGCATGTATCAGTAGGTAACTTATGAAACATAGTTAATGCAAGATGCCTGAACCAACGCCAAGTTAGTACTTGAGAAAGATCGCTTAAAGATTAGGTAGGCACTAATATCAGATTTACGTGATTTTAATTTAATTATGAGAAATATTTTGTAACTGGTTTTCACTTCAAAAAATTTTACTGAAGATTACAAAGTTCACTTTAAAACAAGCATTCGTGTCATTATAGCTGTGCGAAATAAATTTCCCAAGACTTAAAAATAATTGAAATTCAGTCTCATGTGCCATTAAAAGTAATTTAGTTTGATGCAACGGGATTTTAGAGTTTAAGAACGTAGCTATATATCACAATAAAAATACACTCATAGTCAATTGAACATTAAAATTATATTCATTTAAAAAAATGTTTTTACTTATTTACCAAATTACTTTTTAAAGAAAATCGCGCTAAGGGTGTTTTTAATATCGTGCGGATTTCGTCACGCGTGCGGGATTGCCCCGCATGCAGAAAATTTCACGCAGCGTGAAACCCGATAGTCTATAGTCCCGCGTCCGTATTCCACGCATTATAATAAATACTTTTATGAAAAGGACATTTGCGGGGCTTACGCATGCGGGGCAATCCCGCACGCGTGATGATATCCGCACGATATTAAAAACACCCTTAGTCCCACGATTAATTCATTTGTTACGGCTAGAAAACGTTTATTTTTATATATATAATTCTTCTGTGAGTGTGTTATGTCACTGAACTTCTCTCAAACGACTGTACCGATTTTGATGAAATTTTTTGTGTGTTCTAGGGGATCTGGGAATGGTTTAGATTCACAAATCAGCCCGGCAGATGGCGCTGCAGTCGATGTTTAGGTTATTTATCCTAAACAGCTGAACTAATTTGAATGAATTTTTGTTTATACATTCAAGCAGGACAACGTCTGTTGGGTCCGTTAGTTTGGATATAATATATTCACTGAGATGGTTTGAGAGGATATTGCCAAAGTCCTCAGCAAAAAGCTCACAAATTACTGCTAAAGGGACAAATGAAATAAAACAACAACCTTCCTTATAGGTACTTATTCATGAATGCACCACAAATATACGTACACCATACACACAGTCGCTAAACCGTAGAAATAAGATAACGCCACCGAGTGGCACATTGGCTTGACAGGCTGAATCAACCTTATAGTATTAGATATTACATGGAGTGCTGCGTACAACTAAAATCTTTTGTTAATGGCAGTGTTGGACTTTTTGGGGCAAATTTGAGCAATTTATTCTGTAGACTGGTCTCATCGAATCATTTAAACTGTCAAACACCAATCGGTCACCGGTGACCACAACCTATTGTTCTATAATTGTGTCTACAAAACCGGTACTCGACGAGTTAATACATTGCAAATGAATACTTAACAACACAAGTAGTGAAAAGTAGGTGCCGCATTCATATGTACACCTCTGCCTACCCCATCGCGTATTGAAAAATGTGATACTATAATCAAAGATAGAAAAATTCCACAATACGCTTAGAATAGAGAGCCTCTCTAAATTATATTTGCCGGCAATGGAGATGCCAGATCACATCCATAACTATACTTATTTTGCGGTTTTTTAAGTAGCCAATATCGTACACCATTTGTTCGCAACATAGTATAGGCAATAAAGTACAAACTGACCACAATTTTAGTTCAGAAAACATTGCCAGTGCAAAATTCATCTAGCCCAGTGTTACTATGTTACAATATAAAATCTGGATACAAAACACGTATTAAAATTTACACCTACATCTAATTACTGGGTTCTCGTGGATAGGTTATTTTAGCCATTATGTTTTACGTTCAAAACTGCCATTAACACGTCAATTCTCAATACAAGTATTACAGTGTAATGAATGTCTATAATTCTATATTTAATTCCCATTGTCGGGACCCATTAGGCGGTCATACAAAAGTGAGATACCTTACTTAGCTCTTAAACATCGTCAAACGTCCCCAACTCACTCTATTCAAAGCCGATAATTAAATAAACAAAAATACTGAAAGGTACAATCGCCTATTTATCAAATATTTAGTCGATTATTTCGTATTCGATTCGCTTACACTAACACGATCACTATTGTAATGTTAACCTAATTTCTACACCTTGGATGAAGCGTAATATAGAAATAAACATTCTAGCTAGACTGCACATTGTATTTAGATCTGTAGTCACTCAAGCATACATCAATGAAACATATCAAAAACAAAAATTATCGTATCACACAGAAATAAAGTATACACTGAATAAAGTGAGTTGGTACAACCTAGTTTTTAATTAATTAAAATTTAATCAGCGACCATTTTTCTTAATATTCATGTTATTACAAAATTCGTTTACTATAGTTACCAGCCTTCGGACATTTATACATTTGCCCTTATATACAAAGCGACAATATCTTAAACATAAGGTTCACAACATGAACCATACAAAATGTAGATGGAAACAAAAAGGAACAATGATTACCACAGTTTCAAAATGACAGTAAAGTCCTTCATAGGAACAGCCTAACTAAAATTATCATTGACCTGTTAACAGCTCTGCTGTTGGAAAAGAAAAAAGTCAATATAATTACGACACCAGGTCAATAGTTTAAAAACACTCAATTGTAAAACATGCAAGGAAAGACTAGAGTTAGGCCATTTATATGAAAAGGGAAATCACATTATGATAAGCAGAGGACAATTGCTTCAGTGTAAGAGTTAGCACATTCTCCTAAAAATAATAATAGAAACAATAGTCACATATAGCCCCAGGCTAATACAAAAACAAAGTTTTATACGACAGTAATAAACCCCGTGAAAGTGTTTACAAATTACGTTTGACAGGCGACAATAGCCCTTACCACTACGAAATACAGGTGTAAGCATCGCCAAATATCTAAGTCACACCTCTTTGCTAATGGCAAGAAAGTTGATTCGATTTTACGTTAATTTTCATGAGACAAAGAACAGAAAATCGAAGTACTAAACATCGTTTTAATTTGACAGAAAATTAATGTTTGTGACCTGCTACATAGGGTATATTTTGGTTTGAAATTTTCTTCGGTTACAAGTATGCCAACACTGGCAAAATACAACATAGGAGATATATTATATATACCCACAAACATAGAGATATACTCAAGGTATAGTATATGATTCAGGGGACCAGTATTAAAATGTAGCTTTGTGGTAAAGGAGTCATATTCATGGAGTGAAGTGGTAAGTATGAAGGCTGGTTTTCATGTAGCGCCACGGTCTACTGCTAGATCAGCGCATCCTATAGTGATTCTTCTCTCGAACCTGGCACAATTCGCCTTTGAAGTCGATTTCTATCTCAAAATCAAGATCGCGGTTGTTCCTCGCGTTTTGGCGCATCGAAAACGTTCCTGTGATCTCCTCGAATTTCTTTACCTGTAGTAAAAGTTATTGGTTAGTCTACAAAGCAAACATTTTAAATATTATGATTTAAGAAAAATTGGAGATTAGAAACAATTTTTAGACAAAATATCCTTGCTATCTTACGAGTTCGTACGTAAAACAAATGGATTCAAGAGAAATCTTTTGGATAGATATGGTCTTTCGTCATCCTAGAACGAAATCTTTCAAAGCAAAAAAGCTTTAAAAAAAATGAAGTCTATTATAAATCCTTGTTTACTTTTATAGTTAATCATAATCAGTCAGTGAGTTCAGTGTGTTTATACTTACAGTCATATAGTCGTCGAAGTAGAAGACGGTCTGCTTCCAATGCGTGTAGGGAGCCTCGGGCGCCGTGCTGAACCCGAGCCGCTTGTGGGACTTCGTGAACTCCACATTGAAGAATGTCACTAGAGCCTGGATGAAGTCGTTGCGGCGCACCTGGATATACAAGAATAATATAAAATTAACGAAGTTATCTTTAATGGAGAGTCTATTGGTTACTTGCATAGTGAGTGATTTCTATTCCAGAGCTAACAAAATATTAATGGAGATGATCAGACCAGATCAGCAAAATTTAAAATTTAGGATTTCTACACATCACACAGAAAATGCTTACCTGAAGGTGGAACTTGGATTCGAAGTTAAGATCTTCCTTCTTAACTGTGTAAAGGTCTATTTCTTTCAATAAACAGGAGTTGGTCACAACCTGAAATATAAACAGATGCAATTAATAAGACTGTATTTTAAAACCTAAAAGATATGAGATCAATATTTTTTACATGAAGTCAGCAATTAAATCCTTCATCTCACCTGCTTAGCATCAACAACATCCACCAATGGCTCGGAGATGGCCACTTTCCTGATGGAGGACATGTCAAAACCATAGACATCATCCCACCAGTTGATCTTCTCATCCTTGTATTGACGGTCTTCGATACCACAGATGAACAATGTGCATCTGTTGGCAAAATTACGTGTTGTTGAGGGGATAATCAAAAAGATAGAATATTTTAAGAAAATGGTTATAAATGTGTTAGGTTCACTTTAATAGTATCTAAAATATGAGCTAAACTAAAATATGAATTAAAGCATAGAAGACTAGCTGGAAAAGATGACAATAGGTCTCACAATTACTGTCTACCTAGTCCTATAAACAAGTCTAATATCATTAAAGTTTAATTTCACTATTAGCTATTATTTAGGTAATCTTAGTAATTTTACTAAGCTAAAAATAAGCTTTAGACTGCACGGTTGGTGCGGTGGCTGGGTAATCGGCTGCCGTGTAACGTGTCGCGGGTTTGATTCCCACACGGAAAAACACTTATTGTGATCCACAAATTGTTTTTTCGGGTCTGAGTGTGATGTGTATGTGAACTTGTATGTTTGTAAACGCACCCACGACATAGGAGAACATCCAAGTGTGGGGCAACATTTTATAAATAAAAAAAAAATTATTTCTATCATGTCCACTTTAGCTTGCAAGTATTTTTAGGTACCATTAAATATACAAAGACGCAATTTCTATTAAAGTTCATTACAAAGTAACAATAATTGGCCATGAATATGACTATGATCGGATCTTGACTGCGCCAATAAAACCTACATTGTTTTAGCTCACAAAGAAACAAATATATTCAACGATTAAAGTCATGGTTTATAACAAATAAACCATATTTAATACATTGGAAACATCAAAATTAAATTGACTTTTCGATCAAACTATAATGTTTTTCACATAAAATACACACAGAAAACTTATAATGGAAGAAAAAAGAAATTATAATATAAAAAGTATATTAATCATATCATATACAAAATGAAGTATCTTACCTGTCAGGGAAGAGCATGCCGTCAGCGCGGAGCCACTTGTCGCGAGCATACAGCACGGTGTCCAACATACTCTCATAGAACAGGCAGTAGCCCATCCACTCTGAGATGATGATGTCCACCTTGTCAAC